CTGTGGTTCAGATTTATTGTGCTGTATGTCCTCAACAGTTGAATAAAATAAAACCCAAAGCTCTTAGGTGTTCTTCGGGGTTAATACTAACACCATGCACATTCCCCACCAGCCCAGTTTCTATCTGTAGGTCACACTCTGGTTCAGAGACTTGAGGTGGGTAATAAGATTATAAAACATGCCTCTTGCTTGCCATCTACCACATGCTAATAGTAATGGGAGTCATAATTCACTGGAATACTGGGTTTTTAGGTTTTACCTGGTTCGTTTGTTTAATTTGAAGGAACAAAAAATAAAACCTTGAGAAGAAACAAGTCCGCCCTGCATAAAGGAAAAATCATATCCTTTTAGCAGAACTGAACGCTGCCTCTAATTTGTGTGTAACTTCTATCCCTCAGTAGAACTTTGCCGTTTGAGCTGGAGGTGAGGGGCTGAGCACAAGCAGGGACTAGGGTAGTTTAGAGCAAGTTTTCTCAACCTTGGCACTCTTGAAATGCCGGGCTGGATAATTCTTGTTGTGCAGGAGCCGTCCTGTGCATTGCAGCCCCCCTGGCCTCTCCTCACTAGAGGCCCTCAGCATACCCTTCTCCTCCCCACCCCCAGCTGTGACCGGGAGAAGGGTCTCCGAAAGTCGCCAGATGTCCCCCAGGGGACAGATTGCCCCCAGTTAAGTACTACTGGTTTCAAGTAAAGCAAGTTTCAAACGTTTCCTTGTTTACCCATTTGTCTAATCCAAAAGCAGCCAGGACTGTGATTTTTTTTTTTTGAGTTGGAAGGGAACTAGAAGGGACCTAGTGTTTGAAATCTCATTCTGCCACACCTTTTTCTAGACGAGTCACAATTTGATTTTAGCTTCACGTTTCAGAGATTTACACACACGCTTTGAAATGCTACGGTCAACCCTTGAACGGCGCAGGTATGAACTGCACGAGTCCACTTATATGTGAATTTTTTTCTAGTCAATACAATACAGTCCTATAAATGTGCTTTCTTTTTTTTTAAGTTTTACTATTTTTTTTTATTTTTATTATGTTTGTTAATCACCATACATCATTAGTTTTTGATGTAGTGTTCCATGATTCATTGTTTGCGTATAACACCCAGTGCTCCATGCAGAACGTGCCCTCTTTAATACCCATCACCAGGCTAACCCATCCTTATGCTTTCTTAATAGATTTTATCCCCCTAGCTTATTTCATTCTAAGAGTACTGTTGGTATGTGTTAATTTACTATGTTATCGGTAAGACTTTGGTCAACAGGAGGTTATTTAGTAGTTAAATTTTGGGAGGGTCAGAAGTTATATGTGGATTTTCAACTGCATGGGGAGGTTGAAGCCCCTAAGCTCCTGTGTTGTTCAAGAGTCAGCTGTACATACACAGCCATCCTCATGTCCAGGTGAGCACATGGATGGTTGTTTGTAGATTAGTCTTCAAGTTGAATGTGGCTGATGTGATAAATGGCTTTGGCAAATTCATATTTAATAACCTCAAATGGAGTCTGACCCTTTGTATCTTTTTCTTTTCCTCGAAGTCCCAGTGATCTTGGGATTCAATAGGGAAATTCAGTGTTTGAGTTCAAATCCCTCAATTCCTACTTCTAAACAATCCTTACTATCTGATGCTTTCTAGAAACATAAGAGGAATTAAAGGAAAAAATTAACATGCATGGGTTTGAAATTGTTTATTTTTTTGGTAAGCTTTAGTTAAAAAAAGAACTCTATGGTTTATTTAAACCACAGACTTAACTATCAGACTTAACCTTTTGCATTTTTTAGTTAACACTGGGGATCTTGGGGTTTCATACTTCTTGGGGGTGTGGGAAATGTGTCAGTATATCTAGGGCAGTGGTTCTCAATCTTGACAGCACATTAGAATTACCTGGGGAATGGATAAAGTTGTGGTTCATATATACAATGGAATAGTACTCAGCCATCAGAAAGGTTGAACACCCACCATGTGCATCGACATGGATGGGACTGGAGGGGATTATGCTGAGTGAAATAAGTCAGGCAGAGAAAGACCATTATCATATGGTTTCACTCAGATGTGGAACATAAGGAATAATACAGAGGGACCACAGGGGAAGGGAGGGAAAACTGAATGGGAAGAAATCAGAGAGGGAGACAAACCATGAGTGACTCTGGACTCTGGGAAACAAACTGAGGGTTTCAGAGGGGAGGGGGTGGGGGATGGGGTAACCGGGTGATAGACATTAAGGAGGGCACGTGTGGCGATGAGCACTGGGTGTTATATGCAACTAATGAATCGTTGAACACTATATCAAAAACTAATGATGTACTATACAGTGGTTAACTGAACATTAAAAAAAAAAAAAGAATTACCTGGGGAGCTTTGAAAAACCCCGGGGCCAGGCCACCTCCCAGACCACTGAAATCAGACACTCTAGTGATGGAGCCCAGGCATCAGTGCTGGGTGATCTCCTTTTCCGCCAGTGGGAGTGAAGGTTTTGAACCAGTGTACCTTTTTTTATAAATAAAGTTTTATTGGAACATAGCCATGCCCATTCATTTGGCAGTTGTCGAGAGACCCTGTGGGTTTCAGAGCCTAAAATATTTTCTCTTTGGCCATTTGCCAAAAAGGTTTGCTGATCCCTGCTCTAGAATCACAGTGAACATTTTCCAACATTTTGAAAAGAGGCTTTATACAAATTCAGAGTAAAAGGGGAAAAAAAATCCAGCATTTTGCAGAGCCTGCAGGTCTCAAATTGTGTCACTTTACTTGTACATGGGGAAAATTGAAAAGCATTTTTCTTGAAGAACTGACTTGCAGATGTTGTCAAACCAGAAGGAGGTGTGACCAGCTCAGCACCTGCAGTGGGTGGGGGGAAGCTTCATCATTTGTGTTGCGTCACTGTGTGCGTGTGCTGTGTGCGCGTTAAAGCCGACGACTTGGCTTCTCGCTCAGAGTTCATTACGTAGACTGTGTAATAGTCTTGAGGGAGGTCTGGAGAGGCAGAAATGGCTCTTTGATTTGAAGACAGTTTGAATTTGGTCTTACCACTGCAGCAATTCTAGATGGCGGCAGACCCCTGAAAAAATTCCTTTAGCTCTGAGGAATCTCATGTATAAAACAAAAAATCATGAAAAATCATAGTGCTGTTGACATGATTTCCATCCTCCCTCCGTTCAGGTAGGAAGTTGGCGGTCATAAACAAATCAAAAGGGTTTTTTAGAAGGTCCTTTTTTGGTCATGGGCCCCTGAAGGTGTGAAGTATGAGAGAAAGGATCATTTATTCTAGTCCATTGTCACCAGTGTGAGGGTTTTGAGCCAGCGGAGTCCTGGGACTGTGCCGGACTGAGGCCCCACTGATTCACTTACTGAATCAGGATCTGCCTAGCCCCAGGCCATTTGCATACACATTAAGAGAGCCCTGGGATGCACTGGTCTAACTGATAATGGGTTCTGTGCAGTTAAGTGACCACTGAGTGTCACTGCCTTCCTCAATGATTTCATGGCCCCTTAATGGCTCTCCTGACCTGGGCTCGCTCATTAAGGGCAGCCAGTTTTTCCCCTTTGGCTACTTCCAAGCATAGCTTGCTCGCCCTCTTATTTAGTAAGATTTATGTGACGGTAGGAGGTGAAAATTGTCTGATTGGGCTAGAAGGGGTACCATTTCATATGCTTCAGAGAAACAGAGTAGGAAAGATAAAGGGAACTTGCCAGATAAACTTCAAGTGAGAGAAAATAATTGGGATAGAGTCTTCTTTGCTTCTCTAAGAAGCAGTAATCCACCCATCAGAGCATTCATTTGTGCTGGGGAGCGCTTGGGAGGGTTGAAAATGAGTCTCTTGAGCTTCTCAAATTAGCCCACAGAAGTCAGGGGCTCAGGCCTTCCAGCAAGCAGTGCCAAATATTCAAAGTACCCATAGGTCTTCAGTCATTGGAAAATTGTCCAAAATTTAATGTCCATAGAAAATCTTGAGGAAGCCCAGTACATAAGTTTACCCTGCCAGCCCGTCATGTTAGTATGATTTTCTTAATCAAGTAGCATCATTTGATTGAAAAATGTAATTTTGAACCTACTCTTTAATTCTTGGACAGAATTGATTTTTCCTGAACATTCCCTTAAATTGACTTTTTAGATAAAGTTAATACCATCTGAATTTAATTTTTTAAATGCAGTATAAATAATTGAAGTCTAGCTGTTCTTGCTGGGAAGATAGGATCACCCCTGTAATCCTCAGTGTCTGTACCAGAGGCCGAGCAGGAAACAGAACAGTTCTGCATATTTGCGGAAGGTCGGGGGGCTTCCACATCTTCAGGTCACATCACCTTGGCTTTGAATGAGAGGTTGGGAAGCAGTGGGGAGCTGCTCCTTACACGAGAGCTTCCCCAGTGTCCCAAAGGCAGTCTGATTGCCAGAAAGACACATGACCGCAGATTCTGCCTTCCCCATCTCCCTTCGTGTCCTATTTGCGGAATCCATGTCACCTCCAGGACCCTGGTGGCAGGAGGGTGTGGGAAGTGGAGATCCCAGACTTGGGTTTTTGCTACAGACATGAGGACAGTATGGGGTGCGTCATTGCGCGAATGACAACAGCTTACCCTTACACACGGCTTGCGTGTTGTCTTTTTTAAAATACTCTTTTTATATGAACACAGTGAGGTAACTAAGGTGAGATGCCTGTTCTACACATGAGGGAAAGTGAGGAAGCAAATAACTTGCTTACGGCTGAATAACTAGAGTTACAGAGACGTGTTGGCTTCTAGGTTAGCGCGGTCCCCTGCTCTGTTTTCCTTAGTGCTTGTTAACTGAGCATCATGTGACCAAATGCAGCTTCAACCCCAGGATAGAAAAGGCACCTTAAGGGTGCACAGTTAGAGTTTCTAGGGTCATTGCCCTGGGGAGGCATATTCATGGTCGAGGGTACTTCCAACAACAATAGGCTATTCTCTTAAAAGATTCGGGCAGTTCTTGTAATCATTGTACAATACAACTTTGGGCTCAGTGTATTCCTTCTTTTTTTTTTCTCAAGCAGATGAAAAACTCGGAGAACCGCCATGCAGTGAGTTCCCAGTACAGGATGCATTCTTACTACCCGCCTCCCTCCTACCTGGGCCAGAGCGTGTCCCAAATCTTCACTTTCGAGGATGGCCCCTCTTACTCAGAAGCCAAAGCCAGTGGTAGGTGTCCGGATGCACAGCCTGGATTGGGGTGGAGGGGGAGGATGAGTAGCCATCACTGGGTCTCTAGACCTCTCCAAGGTCTTGCAAGTCAGGAGCTCTTGGGAGCTTGCCAATCTTTGTGAGTATCCTTTACAGTATTCCGTTATGGAATGCTTTTGCTTTAATATCACGTTTTTCTTTTCTGACTACCTGGAGTGACAAGAATAAAATGAGAGGCTCCCATCAAATGCTAAAAAAAATGTATTTTCGGGAGAAGCACTATGAAATACAGGTTCAAAGGAAAATGTGGCTCAAATCCTGATATTTTTGGTAAAGCGAATTTCTCTGTATTAAATACTTGTATTGAAAACTTCTCCATTTTAAAATTGAAGGCGTATTCATCTTTTGGGGGAGGAAATAAAATAATAAAATGTTTCTGAATGCAGTAGATTTCAGAGTTTATGCAGTAGCAATGCAAATAACTCTGATATAATAGCTTTAAAAGAAAAAATGAGTGTTTAATGAACCAAAGTGCTTTGAAATACACAATTCCTCAACTTCAGTTTTAACCTTCTCCCCAGCATTTACACTGTGGTAATGGGTGGATCTTTTGTGACTGCTGTGTTTCTAGGCCCTGTTTTTAAGTTCTTTATATTTAAGCTTTATCTTTTGATCTGGGAAAGTGAGAAGCATATACAGTCGAGGCTGTACGTAGAAATCAGGGCAATAGTGTGTGACTTGGTAGTAAACCCGCCTTGGAACTTGGAACTCACCCGCCACTAAATAAAAAGAGAGGTTTGTTCTCTGAATAACTTGACACTCTACAGAGAACTTGTTTGTCTGTAAAGCAAGCATTCAAAGAACAAGAATCAGAACCATACTTTGATTTCCAAACTCAGGACAAGGAAGTCTAAAAAAGCTGGGCAAGTTATGCTTTATTTGCCATACTGAAATAAAATAGAGGATTTCATTAATGCATAATATAGAGGACAAGGGAACGGATCTGTTTGAACTGTGGAGGAACTGAAGTACACGTTATTGATTGCACTTTGACTTTCATTAATGACCATTTTTTTCGCAGGAGTGGACAAGCTCAACTCTGTATTATAAATAGCCATACCATGGAATGTATGCCCATATGGTCCTTCTTTCATACTGTCTTTGATTCTGCGTATTTATCTGGCTTTTAAGCTCTTTAGGGACAGAGAACACATGTTACATATCTTTTTACCTGCTATGGTGCCTTTTATTTATTTATTGGCTGAGCAAGTGAATGAATGAATGAAGGAGGTATTATTTTTTAAGGGAGCTTGCTACTCTGTAAAGAAACAGCAGCCTAGAAGGTCAGGATCCTAACTCATGGTCTGTGGAATCAGTGCAGAGTTTCGCGATGAAGCAGTTAAGGAAACGTTTGTTCATACAGAAAATTAGGAGTGAACCTACTTTCAGGAAGAAATTGCTTGAGCCTCTTGCTCGAGGAATAATGGAATATTCCCAGAAGCCCTTGCACTCTTGAGAGAAAGGTGTAAATTCAGAGCAGGGCAGTTAGATGAAAAGATAAGAGGAAATTTATTAGGCAGAGAGGGACAGATATGAAGAGGGGCAGGAAGCATTTGAATTTATGGCAGAAAACGAAGAGGCTCAGAAGGAAAGAGTTTACAGCCCAGGACAGAAAGGACCGGCTGCACCAGCACTCACTGGGAAAGGCAGGGCGGCTACCGGTGAGGATTTCTCACATTTTCGCTGGTGAGACGTGTGTTTGAAGGCGTGAGGCGGCCTCAGGCTGACCCTTCTGGGGCCCCTCTCCCTCCCTACTGGCCTCACACCGGAGCGAGTTAGCTGGGATGAGCTACAGTGAGACTCCCTAGTACCTACCTGCAGACTGCCACGGAGAAGGAGAATACGGATCAGTAGAAAATCCAGATCTCAGCTAATTGCTCAAAGAAACGTGGCTTTATGACTTCCAAATGCATGGTATTTGGGGCTTCTGTGTTGCTTGGAATGCTTACAGAGCAAGTGGGAAGGGATGAGGGAAGAGAAAGTTGTGTTTGGGGGCCAAAAGGACACCCCAGGGGGTCCTCTCTTGGAGCACTGGATCCTCAGTTTTATCATCAGCATTGGCACCAGTAGGCGCTCGGGGACAGCTTAGGCCCTTCTGCTGAGTGGGGCTGAGGCTGGTGGCTGGGTGCGGTGGGTGGGGGGCGGGACAGCTGTGTATTCACTCTGACAAGGTGACAGAGGCTGACCAGTAACCTGTTGCATTTATCACGTGCATCAGGTACGGGCTGAGATCCTTTGGTTGGTCATGTTAATAAATAAGTTATGTTTGGAATAAGCGTATAAGTGGGGACTTACTGTAAGTCATTTGAAAAACAGTGTTTTTCAGTAGGTTTAATAAATTTGTCCATTAAATCAGTTTTTCTTCACCTTCTTGAAAGAGAAGTTTAACGTCTCTTTACCATGTAAAGAAAGGAGTCCTGGTTCAAAGTCTTCCTCTGCTTTTGCTGGAGATTACAACATGCAAATAGAATGTGGCGGGGATTCCAGGGAAAGTTCCTTTTGCTCTGTTGCTACTGTTTAATGTTTTTCTTGGTAAAGAGGCTAGGAGGCATTTCTTCCCCCTTCTATATCCCGAAAAGTGTCAGGAGGTAGATCAGAGAGACGGTGAGGCCCAGTCATGTAGGACTTTGTAAAGCATTGCAAGCACTTTGGCTTTTATTTCAAGTGAGAGGAGAAGCCATTGCAGGCTTTCTAGCAAAGGCGCGACATGGGAGACATGTCTGTCCTGTGGTTTTGGAAGATCACTCTGGCTGCGGTGTAAGAACAGACTGTAGGAGTGCAGGGGGGAGGCACGGAGTCCAGTAGAAGGCATTGCAGTAGTCGTTGAGAAAGGTGGCAGTGAGCTAGTCGGAGGCGGGGGGGAGCATGGTGGTGATGACAGGTGGTTTAATTCTAGATCTGTTTTGAAGATAGAACCAAAAACGATTTGCTGATGGATTTGGGATGTGCCAGGAAGGGAGAAGTGGGGGTAACTCTATAATTTTTTTTTATCTGACCAAGTAGGAAATTAGAGTTTCTGTTTATTGAGGTAAAGAAGACCAGGGTGGTGGTGGGGGAACAGGTTTGTGAGAATTAGGAGTTTAATTTTGCACATGAAGTTTGAGATGTTCATGAGTCATCCAAGTGGATCATCAAGTAGGAATTGGATGTATGAAGTCTCAATCTCAAGTTGAGAGGAGACATCCTTGCTGGAAATAAAAGCTTGAGAGTCCAGTGCATAGATATTACCTGAAGTCAATCTGATGAGAGCCCCTAGAGAAGTGAGTGTAAAAAAAATAAATTAAAAAAAAAGAAGAAGAAGAAGTGTCTGTAGATGGAGCAGAATGAAGGGCCGAAGATTGAGCCCCAGGGCCCTCTGGGGTCTGGAGGTGTGTTGCAGATGAAGAGGCCCAGCAAAGGAGAAAGTGAGGAGAACTAACAGGGCATGCTGTCTTGCAAGCTGAGCAAAGAAAACATTTCAGTGAACAGAGCCAAAGAAGCTGATAGGTCAGCTGAGAGGGCTGGAATCAACCATGACCGGCTGTTGTACGGTGGGAATGATGGAGGGCCTGGACAAGTGGCCAGTCGGGTGGGGAGGCAGGAACGAAAGCCTGACTACATTCGGGAATGCGTGGGAGAGAAGATGCGGGTGGGGGCACAGACACTTCTTCAAGGAGTTTTGCTGTAAGGGGAGTCGTGAAATGGGGCAGCAGCTGGAGGGGAGCGGAGTTCAAGGAAGATCTTCTCTTTTTCAAAGAAAGAAGATAGCACAGTAGGTTTGTGTGGTCCAGCAGAGGGAAGGTTTGCCCTGCAGGCTGTGTGTGGTGGGGGCCACCATCGTCAGGGACACTAGCGGGGTGCTGTAGCAGGGATTAGTACTGAACTCCTTTTTATGGTCTACTAAGATGCCATTGTTGTGGATAAACCACATCTTGCTTTTCTGTTCTTCAGCTGATGGACATTTGCGTTGTTTGTACCTTTTTTGGCTGTTGTGCATAGCTGTGCTGTGAATCTTTGTGTTCTTTGTTTGGAGACCTGTGTTCACGTCTTCTGTGTACATACCCAGCAGCAAAATTGTAGGATCGTGTGGTAATTCTGGGTTTAGCTTTTTAAGGAACTGCCAGACTTCTGTGTAGTGGCCGCACCATTATACCTTCCCACCGGTGTACGAGGGTTCCGATTTCCCTAGCCTGCTCGTGTTACTTTCCATTTTTTTTTAACTATGATTCTAGTAATTCATTTTTGTTGTATCTTAGGAAAGTATCAGACCATGGCAGATTGGAAACAAAAAAATTTTAGGAGCGCCAGGCTGGCTCAGTTGGTAGAGTGTTGCAACTCTTGATCTTGGGGTTGTGGGTTCGAGGTCCACATTGGATGTAGAGATTACTTAAACATAAAGTCTTAAAAAATTTTTAAACAAAGCAAAACAGATCCCTCCCCACAGATAGCTTGAGAAACATGGATCCTAGTACCCACACAGAAGGTTGGCTTATGCATGAATGTGGCCTCTTCATAGTAACGGATGCAAGTGGTTCACGAAGTGGTGGTTGGAGCACCCTGGAAATAACGCTTCTTCAACTCGGGATAAAGAGGTGATCTCCACAGCCATGCCTCTGTGTTAATAGATACACTCATGTTAATGGGTAAAAACAGGCATCTTTGTCTACATGTTGAATTCTTGCATGTCAGTTCCTGGAGTATACTTGGCTGGTCAACAGCTGGGAAAAGGTTTCCATTTAAATTGAGAAAGACGGGGGCGCCTGGGTGGCTCAGTCGGTTAAGCGTGTTCCTTTGGCTCAGGTCATGATCCTGGAGTCCTGGGATCGAGCCCCACGTCCGGCTCCCTGCTCAGCGGGGAGCCTGCTTCTCCCTCTCCCTCTGCCTGCCACTCTGCCCACTTATGCTCTCTCTCTATCTATCTGTCAAATAAATAAATAAAATCTTAAAAAAAAAAAACCTTAAAGTGAGAAAGACGAACA